CAATCGACGCGCAGCGGAGGTCGATGCACGGCGTATTGTCTGAGTGCATACTTTGAGGTATTCTCCTTATATTAATCTTATTATTATACATCTTTTCCTGTTAAGGATACATCATGAGAATGCCGAAATCCAAAAGGTTTAGAACAGAATCAGCGAACTTCTGTGTGTGGAGTCTGGTCAAACCCTGATGGCAGCCATGTTTGTTTTTATTATTAGAAGATGCTTATGCGCGTAATCATTCCATATTTGGAATTCGCATTTCCTTATATGATAGGATGAAAGTACCCTGTAAAAAATTGCAAAATCACGGCACGCTGTAACTTATGGCGTTATGGTGACAGATGTATAATAATATAGGCTTGTGTGTTTATGTGTGTGGGAGTGTTTGTTAGGGGGTATATTATGGTCAATTACTGACAACGTTTTTTGTTATTCACAGTGATGACCTTGATAGAAAGTTACAGAGTGAATACATTGCTAATATCACTAGAAACAGGTAAGGTTGTCGCACTCAACTCATACTGATAGTTACAGAGTGAATACATTGCTCAACTCATACTGATAACTTTGTATAATAAATGGATACTATGAGAACTACTATATTTGGTTATTTCATACTGAACTAACACGTACTGTAAAACCATTTAATTTCACTATTTTGATGTTTGTAGCATATTCACTGTGTTTTAATTTCACGAATTTGTCAAGGAAACAATGAGTTTTATTGTTATTTTACATATGTCCGCATAGATTTAATTTAGCAAATTTTACTTATCAGCAAAAAACGTGAAGTTAAAACCCAGTGAATAATTAACGCACTTCCAGTACAGTAGTACTGTTACATTCTTTGTGTAACAGTAAAACAACATGTAAGAAATATTTCCTTGACAAGTTTTCAGTTTTTTTCTAAATCCTGAACTATTTCTTTCAGTACTAACCCAATAGTGTACATGGGTTATCTGAATTGTAAGCCCGGCAGTAGAGACTATTTACAATTAAAGACCAAAGGAAAGTTGAAGGTATGTTCACTGTATTGTAGTCTGGGAGGATACTCTCATTGGAAAGCTGTGTACATAGATTCTGCTCGATTGGGTTCATGTTTTTTAAGCTAAAATATCTGAAGAGGGGTTTCCTTTTTCACATTTTGCCTGTTTTAAAATGAATAGAGATGTTGGTGGCACAAAGCACTCATTTTTTCAGGGAAGTATACCACCCCTCGGTATTGTAGTAATCTGTAATCCAGTAAAGTTTTGGGTCTGTTGATCCTTGGTATGAATGAATGAATGAATGAATGAATGAACATAAAATAAATGATTGATGTATCAATGAAGCTAGTAAAATTGCAATGTACCATGATTCTCGACTGATCAGTTTTTGTCTCCATTGTATCACCAAGAGGTTTACTTTAGAGTGACAAGTCTACGTATACAAAAGAAGATTTCAAATCTGACACTAGAGGGCGGCAGCCCATGGTCAAATTACCTTCCTTGTAATCTCTGCAATTCACATCCCAATAATACCACAAATCATGTAATTTTCTCTGAACTTATCGATATCAACATCAGATCATGTCTGTGCATCTCTACGAATGGCTATCATAGACCTGAATTTAAACTCAAATTAACTGAGTTTGAAAAAGTTAGTTTGTTTCAATTTTTATTTTATTTTTTTTTTCTTACCAGGATATCGATAATACTGATAAAAATAGATGCTGCTTGTACATAATGTACCGTGGTCTTATACGGTAAGTTAGGGGGTAGGTTAGGGGGTGACATGACATTGTCTGGTATACTGTAAAATGACTAATTTTCACTGGGTTTAAATTTCACTGATTTACCATTTCAGGCATATTCAGTGATTTTTAAATTCACTGTTTTATCATTTAGATAATGTGTTCTATGCTAAATTTTACATATTCACTGGGTTTTAATTTTTCAGTCAGCGAAATAAGCCAAATTAAAAACCCGATGAATAATTAACCCCTTTACAGTAGTATGTAGGCTAGAACGAATAATTGTATTACTGTTAAAATTATTAAAGGGGAACCATTCAATCCAAGGGATTGCACCAAAGAATCATGGGACACTATTGTTAATGTAGTTTACAAAGTTAATCTATCTTTTGTTATTCATTGTAATTTTAATCCAGAAAGTAAATTTGTTGTGAGATTAGGCTTAACTGGAAGTGTTCCTTTAAGTCTTTTTTTTTTTTCAATTTTGCATGTTGCATAAATTTTTGGGTATCATTCAGTTTAACCTAAAACTAATCTCAAAATGATATGATGATGAATGATACTTATACAATGAAAAACTGAACATTGGTACATGCAGTTCTTAATAGAAATTAATGAATGAAATGGAAACTTTTTGCACTAAGAGTGGTCAACAAACTGATAACTGATAATATTAGTAATCACCACTGTGATATAGAACCTGTTTTTTGTCCAAATCAAACAACTTCATGATTAAATTAATCACATAATATTTAGTATTAGACAATATTTCAAGGCATCTTATAGCTTTTTTTTGTGTATATGTAAAAATTCTATACAAATACTTTTGTTATTTTTTTTTTAGAGTCGGTTATGCTCGTATATCACATGGTGGCGTGACTGACACTGAAATCCAGCTAGCGAAGTTCACTATTCCAGACAACCACAGGAATTATAAAGATAATAATTATATGACCATCAATCCTGATGATATTGACCAATCGCTTCATTTCCCCTCAGTGTAAGTATACATGGTTATTTCATCGCTTTGTCACTAGGTATCCATGGATACGATATAGGGCTTAATAGGTGATTTTCCTAACTTCATAGAAATTGACTATCATCAAATGTGTATAGCACATTATTACAGTATTTATCCGGGTATAATCCCATGGTCTTGAACATGGAAAATTGCCAAAAAGAAGGGGTGGGCGTTTGCCAGGAGATCCCCGGAAAAAAAAACGAAAATTCACGAAAATTGACAACACGCAGATCGAACTGCGACAGGGAATAGAACGGCAAATGAAAACATGCAACGAAAATAAATGAACAATATGCAACATTAGAAGTAAAACAAAAATAATTTATTGCTTATAATGTGGCAAATAAACCAGAAATAATAAAACAAATGAAGAATGGTTTGAATTAGGATTTTCCCGCCGACAAACACGCTCAACTTGAATACGCGTGAACTCAAAATGAATTAAAATGTCAGGGGTTAAACTGCGTAAAATGATTTCCGGTCTCGACAAATTACGAATCAACCGTCATACAAGATCAATAATTTACAAATTTACACAGTAAAAATTATAAAAATTCATAGCTGTTTGAAAAAACTTCTCAGATCTTTATTTGTACGTTCATTGCCATCTTCGTCAAACTCAAAACCCTCAAAGTCCAAGTCGGCGTCACTGTAGCCGTCGAACAAAATCCCTACAACTTATTCCTGAAGTTCGTCGATATCGTCCCACACAATTTGGACTTTTAATCCACGGATTTTGCAGTCTGTCAGCTTGGCACTTTTAATTCACGTCTAATCAGAATAAAGAGACAAGAAAAATTGGGCCGCGGCAAACGACTCGCACGATGCTTTTGTTTACAGTCTAGCAATCATCTTTGACCTTTATGCATCTGCTTTACCGATTGGCTAAGAATGACATCACTACTAGTATTTCATCATAAAGGTCAAATCGTGACATTGCTTTCTTATCAGACTCGACGCTTATTAATCACGGTGAAAGTTATCATTCAGCAAGTTCCGGCGGTTGGAATGTCTCACTATATGGATATTGCGGCGGACTTGAAATAAGAAGTTTTTTTTATCCAACGACAGAAGAATAGTTTTCATGACAGAAATGCAATAGCGGTGATAAAAGATGGTAAAAAAGTTGGAAGTCTTTGGCGTGACATTGCAAAATTGCTGGCCCCAGTTATAGATTCGAAAGCTGCTACAAAATATCTATAAAGCCAAAATAACGTGACTTCAACCACTCTCCCAGGTACGGGTTGCTACAATATTGCAACATTGTTTTCATTGTCGATGACGCTAAAGCCGAACGAGTGCGACACTTGCTTAGCGGCTCTCCTTATGCAATTTGCTTGAATCGTTTCTAAGGAAGCACAAACCAAACGACCGGCCCATTTTAGAGCCACGACATATTTCAAAAAGAGAACTACCATTTCTGCTTTAATATTTATTTTTATAGACTTGCTGTTATGATCAGATTCTGAAAAAAAAAATCAGTGGTGAACGCGCTGCCCTAAAAGCTGTCACAGCTATTTTGCGTTCACCCTTAGTTTTATGCAATTAACAATTTTTATAAGTATCACGACAGACTTCAAGAAAGTCAACAGTTAGCGAATAGAAAATAGTTTTTTTGTTTTGTGTAGAAAAAGACCCCCTGGGCGTGTGCCCAGATATGACCTCAACTTCTTTATTGTGTCAAAAGTGGGGGGTGGGAGTTTGTCCAGGCATGGGCTCTTAGTACGGTAAGTGTGAAAATACCCAAAAATATTTTTTCCCGTTTGACGAACCCTGCACGTTTTTCGGAAGCCACTACGATGCTATGACCTTTGTTTGTCCTGTTTTTGCGAATCTTGCAGTCAACAGAAAATGGTATATAACTTGATAGATATTTTTTGATCAGCCTTATTAAGATTCTTGTTTACTTATCTTCCTGAAATCATCAATTTTTCTTTCCTTTTCATAGATTTGGTGATCACTATGGTGATGAGTGGGTAGAAGAAGGACACCATTATCACAAGGCAACACCAAAATATTTTACAAAGACATCAAAAAAGGGTGGATAAGATGCCGTTTTGCTCCGTCCTCTGTAGTATCCTGTTATACTTTGTTGCATATCAGTCAAATTATCAGTACGCAATGTCTTAACCTACTAACATAATCTGTGATAATACAGCCAAGCAAATTATTGGTATTCATTTCAGCACCATCATTAACATATTTTGCCAAACACCATTGTCTGTATATGAAGTCATCAGTTCACTGTATTGAATGACAGAAATGGACCTGTGGTGTTGGCCATGAACATGTATATTCCACTATTCTTGCCATTCATTGTGGCCCCAAACATGTATAAATTTTTCAATTGATCCGAATCAATTATGATATACTATATTTGTGTTCCATTGGCCCCAAACATGTATAATTTACTCAATTGATCCCAATCAATCATGATATACTATATTTGTGTTCCATTGGCCCCAAAGATGTATAATTTACTCAATTGATTCCAATCAATCATGATATACTATATTTGTGTTCCATTGGCCCCAAACATGTATAATTTACTTCATTGACCCACAAAGCACGCAAGATTTACCAATGTTCATGTGATACGAAGAGGTAATTTGGTAAATATTATTATTAAACTCGGAGAAATCATGAAAGAAATTATTATGCAATCCAATCATGAAATTAAAACTTTTTTTTTATATTTGAAACACTGCTGACATTTGTCTTCATCAAGAGCATTAATAATAAGTTCTCTTTTTGTATATTTCTGAAGAAAAAAAAAAATTATAATGAAAGCTAGAATATTTTACAAAAGTAATTTGGGTACATGTTTCAAATTAAATGTCAAGCAATAATTACTGTAATCTGTGTCTTAGAGAGTAAACAAAAATGCATTTTACCCATTGCCACTCGAAAATTTCATTTAGTTGTATGGTATTATGCAAATTGTGTACTTAGCAAGACAACTTCTATCATGAATCATTCACATTGCTGGAAGATTTGGAACTAGAAAGTTTGTAAAATGTTTAATGTTTGCAGTTTGAAATTTCTGTAGTTTCATAATTTAGTCGAAAGCATTTGTGATTTATTTGAAAGTTGCTTCAAGCTACCCGTCATGAGACACTGCAATCACCATTATTGTACCATTACAAAATAGGAAATATAATTTGAGTGCTTCGGCCGTTGTTTACAACGTAGTTTGCCTTGAAAGGATTTAATCTCAATAACAGCTTGATTAACACCTTGATTTGAATAAACCCATGATTGACAGTAATTTTTAATGACTATCATGCCTTCTCGTCAACTTTTAGACATAAATTACGCTTAAGTGAATTGCCAATTCGTAGCATAATAATGCAATAACATAGGTGCTCATAATTTCACTGCCAATTTCTAATGTTGTCTTTGTAGGAGTGGAAACAAATATTGAGACTTTTTTTTATATGAGATTACTTACTAAATTAATGTAAAATGTGATGGGTAATAATTGAAATAAAATATAACAATATGAATTTTGTATGTAGTCTGTTGTCATTTACACTGACTTGGTACTGGAAAAGGCCGCCAAGAACATTGGTTTGTCCCTGGCAGACATAGTTTGATATACAGACTTGTGTGCATATTTTTTTCCAATTTCTTTAATAGACTGGCAGCCAACTTAATTTAATATATTTGCACATGTAAAAAATATATGGGACGATTTAATTCTAACGGGTCACTGATTCAACTCAAAATGGCCAACAAGCAGACATATTCTTTCCAGATATATTACGGTAGATTCTAAATGAATTACACACATCTAGCTATTTAACTGAACGTGTTAACAGTTGCACATTCGGATTATTCAAGGAAGTTTAGAGCTCAACGTAAGGATTTCTATAGTGATGGTATGCAAATAATGGGATAAAGATTCCACTGAAATCGTACGATTTATGAGTTGATCACATAATCACAAAATAAGTGTAAATTTTTAAAAAAATACCAGGTAATCCAAATAGTGAGTCTGTACATTACAGAGCGTAAATTACACGTTTGCCAATTTTAAATGTATGATAACCTTCCATTTTTGTTCACCTAATCAAATCTTTCACCTAATCAACATACATACATGTACATCTGAGCACAACTGTTTATTGATTTATTTCATATTAGATAACAGGGTACTTGAAAACACAGAGACCACAATAATTCAGTTTAAAGGGCGATGGTCGTCGCACTGCGACAATTGTTTTGAAAAACATTGATTTTCCCACAATCCAGTGCGCTCTTCTAATGGAAATCACAAGTATGAGGTTTGACCAGGGTAGGACTTACACTAATTACCACCGGCAAATTCTTCGATACCTTCCAATCACTATTAAAGCTTGGTAACGTTTCAGTTTGTACTCGTTGATCTCCGCATGCATATCTCACGCATGCGTGGCGCGACGACTACCACCCTTTAATAAGACGGCAATATACACATTACAGGCAATACATATTACAGTCATGCAGAACGCAGTGTGTTAATTAAACCAATTTGTTGGAGTGAAGTAACATTGTATTAACTATCAATCTTACCATTAGAATATTGAGTTAGTTGAAACGATGAAATCAACATTTTAGTAAATAGTGTTACAATTGCATGATCTTACTAAAAGTAGAACTGGTATAAACATCAAATGTTGTTCAGCATATGCAATGGATTAAATGTGAACAATGAGTGCAAGCAATAATGATCTATTCAACCTCAACTGCATCTCTTTGCCCCAAGCAAAAGTTACTGTATTTTACAAATCCCAAATAGTTGTAAATACAATCTGTCTCTATTCTAGTTTGTGTACTTGTTCGTTTGAATTAAACATCTTTATGAATTAACATCACAAAAAGTTTGGTGATGTCTTGTGAATTATATTATTGGTGTCGAAGACCAATGGCTCTTTCAATACATTCACTCTTTGCATTCTGGCATTGCAATTAATATGGGTACAAATGGTTTGGCAGGTAAGTTTGCAATAATGTTATGTAAATGGTAAGATAAATGGTGCTGACACTTGTCTTTTCTGGAAATAGGCTGGATGGTCACAAAAATCTGACATCCTCAATAAGTTGCGGGATGCAGCCAAACTGTTCCTTAAAATGCAATAATAAGATTTACTATACACAAGACAACAGGGATGAACACCCACAATTTAAATGAAAATAACGATATTCAAAAACTCGGGATATAAAAACATGCTTCACAGTGGGATATCAAATGTAATCTTTGATTGGTTGCTGTCTCAGTGACAGCCCAGTATTTTCCAATCATGCGTTGGCTAACATCTTTCACAATCCATTTTTCTATGTTTCATCATTATTTGTATCATCATCCTCAGTTGAGCGTTCGTCTTTTGAATTCACCTCCACATTTTCAATTTCATTTGTAACATCTTCCACTAAGGCTACAGCTTTGTCCTGATCTTCATCTACTGTTTTTGATTCATCAACAGTGATATTATCATTTTCTGACCCTTCCTCCGTCACCTTTTCACTATCACCTTCAACCTTTGAGCCTTCCACAACGGGTTTCCCTGCCTCACTTTCAGGGGTTTCTACATCTTCTGATGGTGGTTTTTCAAACCCTACTTGTTTCTTCTCTCCCTCGTCTTCCATATATATAATATCTTCAGGATTTGGGGCGGCTGGTAGGAACTCCTCGCCGGGACAAATCTTCTCAAACAACTTCTGTGCCTAAAAATAGTGAATTGTACACAGAGTTCAATATAAAAGAAGCAGCTGCATACCATGATGGATCAACCATTATTAAGACAATATGAGAATGTAAAAATGCAAACTACTGTCACCAGGAAGGCTGTTCAATTGCATGGATATATTATGGCAGTGATGCTCTATTGTAAGAGGAAAAGTGGTCCAAAATGGCCAAATTTGGGCAGTTTTGACAAAATTAGAGACTATTTAAATCATGGAAAGGTATGAAAAGTGGACACATACACACGTTGTTTATAGTAGTACACTGCCTATAAATAATACCTTAGTAGAATGTCATCCCTAATAGAAGCACACATAAACCACAAAATACATGTATTGTATGCTGTATCATTAAAATACAAGTTGTTTTTACCACAGACATATCTCAGTTATTTATACACTGGCATATACTCAACTAAAAGAATAAGAATGGTACATGTATCGGCAAAACTGTAAAATATTTGCT